GGTAAAGAGGCTTTAGTTAAGATTTTTTCTCGTCAAACTGTGAACATCGGGTAAAGTAAAGAGGCTTTAGTTAAGATGTTTTCTCGTCAAACTGTGAACATCGGGTAAAGTAAAGAGGCTTTAGTTAAGATGTTTTCTCGTCAAACTGTGAACATCGGGTAAAGTAAAGAGGCTTTAGTTAAGATGTTTTCTCGTCAAATTGTGAACATCGGGTAAAGTAAAGAGGCGTTAGTTAAGATGTTTCCGTCAGCGCATCATCTTCCTGATTCGTGGTGTTACAAAAATATCAGTGATTCACACTATGCACATTAATGCCTGATGGGTGGTTCACACAATCCTCATTATACTCTGATGAGTGATTCACACAAACCACACAACTCTCTAATGAGTGATTCACACAATTCAACCCTATACCAACCTTTGGTACCAACCCTCTACCAATCCGTGGTACCAAACCTCTACCAACCCGTGGCATCAACCCTCTACCAACCCGTAGTATCAATTCTCTACCAACCCGTGGTATCAAACCTCTACCAACCCGTGGTGTCAACCCTCTACCAACCCGTGGCATCAACTCTCCCCTCTACCAACCCGTGGCATCAACCCTCTACCAACCCGTGGCATCAACCCTCTACCAACCCGTGGCATCAACCCTCTACCGACCCGTGGCATCAACCCTCTACCAACCCGTGGCATCAACCCTCTACCAACCCGTGGCATCAACCCTCTACCAACCCGTGGCATCAACCCGTGGTAATGCGTCAAGTGGTGGTGTCGGCTTTCGACCAGCTGTGTGCTTATTAAAATACGTGTATATTTCCTATACAATTCTAGAAGTTTCTGCTCAATGACATTTTTAAATATATATTTTTTTAATTCGTCTAAAAGACTATAAAAAAAATTAGGTCTAGATCTAGATCTAAATTTTATTTCTGATGTTTTGTTATTAAGTTCCTTTTTTTTTTTTTTTTTTGTAAAAATAATTTAGGGGAACATTTTTTTTTTGGGTAATTTAATTTTTTTTAATTTTCACAAGTTGTTTTTTTTAACTGAAAATTGATTTAATAAAAAAAAAAAAAAGCTTTGGTTGAAATAAAAATAAAATTATTGTTAATTATTAATTCTTTAAAAAAATTTTTTTTACCGAAATTCTGTTTAACTTTTTTCTTTTACCTTTGTAATTTTAATTTTAAATTAAATTTTAAAAATTAAATAAAATATTAAGTCAATTATTAGTTGTTGTTTTTTAGAAAATTTAAGATTTAAAAAAAATAGTTAAAAGATGATTCTTTACCACAAAAAAAAAAAAAAAAAAAAAAAAAAAAAAAAACCATGAAACCAACCACCTTCGAAAAGGTTAATATTTTGTGGTCCTTAAAAGGACCTTGAAATAAAGCGTTAAAGCAAAGCTTCTTCGTTGGCGAAATTATTAACGTCTTCGGCGTTTGCGACCTTTGCCACGACGTCTACTGCGTCGTCTTCTGCCTTTGACGCGTCTTCGGCTGCGTCGCCTTCGGCCTCGGCCTCGTCGTCGGCTGCGTCGTCTGCGACCTCGACCACGACGTCTGCTGCGTCGTCTTCGACCTCCTCGGCGTCTGCTGCGTCGTCTGCGATGAGGGCGATCGTCGTCGTCGTCATTCAGCACTCTTCGGCGACGGCTCTTCTTGCTCCCTTCGTCGTCATCTACGCCCAGAGTGAACCGCGACTTGCCCGCCTTTTGGATTTTCCCTTCTCGTAATCCTCTGGCAAGTGCCTTCTTGATCTGAGTGCTCAGTTCACTAGCCGGTGCATGCGTCTGTGAGTTAGACGCGAAGTATTTCTTGAGAGAAGTCAGGGAGGAGCCGCTACATTCTTTCAGGGCTCCTATCGCTTCCATAATACTATCGACGGTGATGCGCACATTTTCGCCTCCATTGTGGTCTGATCCTGAATCAGAAGCCATGGTGTCCTACTTGGTGTAGCAGGACTCGATCTTGTCAAGTTGACGTAAAACTATAACCCCAATGCGCGGACGTACAGGGGCCACGAACAAAATTATATGGGAGCTTAAGTCTAAAAATAAACATTTTTGAAAATATCTTCATAGTAATTAAAGGGATATGGAACGGAGTGGTCTAGCGGTAGAGAGCTGGACTGCTAACCCGTAAGTCTCGAGTTTGATGGGTACCTAACTCACGTTAGGGAAAGTAAAGGCGGCTGGGCATAGGGCTGACCACACTATCTCTTCATATGCCGAGGTCACAGAAACAATTGAACTCTACTTCACTTGCCCCATAGACCGTCAGGTTAACTCAGGTTTGAAAGGGAAACTTTACTTTTTAATAAAAGGGATATTGATATTACTTATGTATGACAATAGACTCTTCAGAAAATATGTGTGTTACTATTAGGTTAGTGTTATCTCAAGTTTAATATTATGTTTGACATTAGGCTTAGAGCTATGGTAGGACGGGTTAACGTTTGAGTAATGATGCGTTAAGAGTTAATTTAGCAAGTCTTATTTGTATTAACTACTAAAAATTTAACATCCCTTTATTACCAAAGTACGATATTAATTTTTAAATATTAAACGGAGATCTAGATAAAAATATAGATCTCCATTTAATATTAGAAAATTTAAATATTCGAATGGGTGTAGACATTTTTTGTGTACTACGTCACATATCAAGTTGAAGAGCTGCAATATTACAAAATCGCGTCTGCTAGGCCTAATTTAGAATCATTCAGAAATTGACGACAAGGGTGTTTGGTAAATGATTTTTACAACGCAATGCTGTGAATCAAGAAAACAGGAACATATGACATGTGATGTTATCTTTATATAAAGGTATGTGGGTCCATCTAGATCAAGATTTCTACCTCGGAATAATTAGTCCTAGAGTCCTAGACTAGGCCTATTATAAATTATTCATTAGATCTAGAATCTAGATCTAGATCTAGATTATCTAGATCGATCTAGATCTAATCTAGACTTAGATCTAGATCTAGACTAGATCTAGATCTAGAGTCTAGAATAGTCTAGATTCTAGATCTAGTCTAGATCTATAGATCTAGATCTAGATTTAGATTTCTAGACTTGATTTAGAATCTAGATCTAGACTATTCTAGACTCTAGATCTAGATCTAGTCTAGAATCTAGATCTGGATTAGATCTAGATTCTAGCTAGATCTAGATCTAGAGAAGTATTTCTTGAGAGAAGTCAGGGAGGAGCCGCTACATTCTTTCAGGGCTCCTATCGCTTCCATAATACTATCGACGGTGATGCGCACATTTTCGCCTCCATTGTGATCTAGATATTAGATTCTGGGGAAATTGTAGATTCTAGCTAGATCTAGATCTATAGATCTAATCTAGACCTAGATCTATCTAGATCTAACTAAGATCTAAATTCTAAGATCTAGTTCTAGATCTAGAAATCTAGATCTAATCTAGTTAGCAGAGTCAATACTATTTTTTTAATTAATGGATGTAGAATCTAGATCTAGATCTAGATCTAGATCTAGATTTTCTAGTTCTAGATCTAAATTCTAGATCTAGACTTCTAGACTTCTAGATCTAGATCTAGAAACTAGATTCTAGAAATCTAGATCTAGGTCTAGATCTAGAACTAGGGTTAGGACACCGTTAGGGCGGTTAGGCCTAGATCTAGGGTTAATCTAGATCTAGATATCTAGATCCTAGACGTCTAGATCAGAGTTTCTTCCAGGCATCTCTTCGGGGGGGGGGGGGGGGGGGGGGGGGGGGCGAATTTATTACCGCCCCCCCCCCTCGAACGAAATGAAATTTATATAATTTATATAGAAAATATATACTTTTAACAGTGTCCGCCCCCCCCCCCCCCACCGAAGATAGTCTACCGGCCTCCTCCCCCTCCCCGGAGAAAAAAGTCTGGAAGAAACACTGGTCTAGATATAGACTATAGATCTAGATATATTTCTAGAATCTAGAATAGAATCTAGATTCTAGATCTAGATCTAGAATTAAGATTGACCAGACAAGATAGCTAAATCTAGAATAGATTAGATTCTATATCTAGAGAATCAGATCGATCTAGAATCAAAATCTATATAGTAGAATCTAGATTAGATCAGAACTTATCTAGATTCTACTCGACATTTACTTGAATCGTGCCTATCGATCTAATCTTTAAAAAATTCTGCCGGGAGAATCTAGCTAGATCTAAATCTACTGCTGTTTGAGTGAGTACTTAGATCAGAGGCGTAGCGACCCTTCCCGGCGCCCGGGGACAAACTTTCAATTTGGCGCCCCCCTTGGGAGCAAATTTTCAATTTGCACCCACCCCCTCAAACTTTCGATTTGCACCCCCCTTAAACTGTTTTTAATGCAAAAATACAGCTAAAATGACATTTTAATTTGTTTTTACAACCCATTTTGGCGCTCCCTAAGGTCGGCGCCCGGGGACACATGTACCTCCCTGCCCCCCCCCCCCCATCGCTACGCCTCTGAGTTAGATCTAGAATCTAGATCTAAAATATAGATCTAGATCCAAATTCTATATTTAGAATTATCTAGATCTATATCTAGAATAGGTAGTGGTAGATATTCTATAGTAAAGTTGGAATCTAGATTCTAGATCCAAGCCAGTGTTTCTTCCAGGCATCTCTTCTCCCAAAGAGTCTACCCCCCCCCCCCCCGAACGAATGGAATTTAGATAGAAAATATATACTTTTAATAGTGTCCGCCCCCCTCCCTTCTCCTGAAATTTTAGTCCGCCCCCTCTGAGGTAAAGCACATTGTTTTTCTGACTAGTATCTAGATTTATATTTAGATCTAGATTCTAGATCTAGTATTTTAGTAATGATACGATAAAACCCAGCAGACGATCATTGAATGCTCATCACTAAACTTCCCAATGATACCTGATGCCGTAACTTCAAATAATAATTTGTAAAATAGGTCAAGTAAAAAGGTATTGAATTAATGTGTAGAATTAGCATATTAGATCTGTTGCCGAATTAGTTATTAGAATGAAACATTATTTGCCTTAAATGACTTAAATAGATCTACTCAATATTTCTGTACATCATTCACAACTCACCACAACACTCGCAACTCACCACAACACTTACAACTAACGATAACATTCGCAATGCACCTCATATCAAAACTTATTAATAATCACCACAACTAACCATAACTCACCACTAATCACCACAACACTCACCTTTTTTTAACTACTAGATCTACATTTGTATGCATCTGACAAAAATGAATTTTCGAAAATGACATCTGACCATAGCCAAATAATTTTCTAGCGGGCGATAATGATGTCGACTTACATTTCTACGGTTACCTCCCCTAACTATAGAATGTGACTGTAAACGATTGTTGATAACGTATTCTTATGATGTATTTAGGCCTCAGTGATGCGGCAAAGCACCGATCCGGAATTTACTATAAGTGTCTATTTATTTGGTCACTGTATTTGTTTATACAAATGTCTCATTATATTGGTAAAAATAGCCTTTTCTTCCCTGTCATAATTTTTTCAGTGTTGAATGTTTGCTGTTTATTATTTTGTAAGTCGATGTCGGTTTTACTAGTCCGTCACCTCTATGCTAGGTCTGTGTGGATCGCTTGTCTACTGGAATCCTACGTCTTTTATTTATCCATAGACACATCAAGGGGGCTGTTAGTTTGGGGCTTTCACATGTTTTTTTTTTGGTGTGGTTATTTTTAATTTTTAGTTTTCAACATTTAGTTGACACTACCAGATCTCTACTCGAGATCAACATTTATTTGACTGACACTAGTTCTATCAAAGATCAATTTTTATTTGACTGACACTAGTTCTATCAAAGATCAATTTTTATTTGACTGACACTAGTTCTATCAAAGATCAATTTTTATTTGACTGACACTAGTTCTATCAAAGATCAATTTTTATTTGACTGACACTAGTTCTATCAAAGATCAACATTTAGTTGACTGACACCAACTCTGCTAAAGATCAACATGCCCTACATTTTGTTGACACTAACTGAACTCTACCAGAAATCAACATTTAGTTGATTTCTAGAAAGACTACTAGAAATGCTTGTAATTTTGCTTGTTTTTTGTCCAAGCCCACAATGCACTGGGTGACACTTGATGCTTGATAAATGTTCACTTCAAGACTAAGGCAGTTAGTCGCGACCAGCCCCAAGCAAAGGTAGTTTGGCTAGAAAAGAAAATAGTCATAAAATGTGATATCCATTCATACATCTAGATACGCTAAACTTCTCCTTTCCTGGGTTGTCGTATTCTTTTTTAGTCTACCTTTCCTGTACGGTGTGAAGGGCTATGATCTATCATGTAGGGTGCGATGGGTTATGATCTATCATCCCTGTGCCCGAACCCCCGTCTCAAGCATTTCAAACCCTTCACCCCGTCGCGACTGGGGCGTGGCAGTGCCGTACTTCTCGCTACCGCTGACCAATCGAATTGGAGCTGTCACCGGAGAGTGACACATCCTTCAGGTGTCGCTGCTAGTTCAATGCACCAAGAAATGTCGGGGTACTGCTACCACCGATGTCAAATAGAAAGAAGGTGGGGGAGGGAGGGATTAACGCCACCAAAACTACATTGAGCCCCAGTGTTCCGTCAGTGTAGACAAGCCTTGTATACACGATCAGGTGTCTTTCAAGTGAATCTTTGTCTTAATTTGTGCTCATTCAAGATGTGGCTAGCTCCCTGGATACAGCACCGTCTGTGGCTTACGTCGAGGTGTTGGCTGATCTTTGTGTAGTTGCCGGCGTTGATGTACAACATCATTTCTCTCTGTTTACTTTCCAGCAGATCTAAGCGTAGAAACGTTTGTTTTTATTTTACTTGATACAACAGATGTATTGTGTAGCTCTTGCTTTGATCATATTAATACCCGTTTTTTCATGCAAGTACGTGGTTTGTTTTTTTTTATATTACAAGCATTTTAGTTCTATTAGTTCGATTTTCATTAATTAGGTAATAATCTTCTTAAAAAATAAATAACAATATATTTTTCAATAATTAAAAAAATTGCTTAACAAAAAACAAAAATAAAATATTTTTTAAAAACTTGAAATTTTAATTTAAAGATTATCGACATTTTAACCTGTTCAACGAATTAATTTAATTTACAATACACTTAGGTCGCGAAAATAATTCTGGAAGACCACTAAATAAATGAATTTTTTTTTCATCACTTATATTTTAAATCGTGATATATTTATATTTTAAACACCCTTTTCATGAAAAATACAGATGTGTATTTTCTTACAAGTATGGGTACCTTAGGTTACACACACATAACTAAAATAGTGTTTAACAACACACCGAACACAGATTTAACGAATCATCTATCATAATCACTGCCTCTATGTTGGTTTTTTTTTCAATTCCGGGTTAGAAATTCTCTAGTAATGTGGGAACAATATTGAAAGTCTGACTCCTAATGAAGTTAATATAATTAGTTTACCTCACTGCATCTGCATGTGCTCGCGCAGCAGAATGGTGAGGTTGTGTACCTCCACTAACATAACTCACACATGCAGCACAGCAAACTTTACAATTAAAACAAAACAATAACACAAACAAAACAAACACACATGAAATAAAATCAAAAGAAATCTGTATTTAAAATATCTGTGTAATTTAAGAGATTTTAAAATCTTTTAAAAAGCAAATAAATTGATAGTGATAGAATTTCATGACTGAAAACTTTTCAAAAAACAAACTATAACAAACAGGTAAAAGAGTCTCGTACGTTAACTTACCAAATCCCTGTGTTTCGCCCATACCCCAGGTACAAACACACAATCGCTAAACACCAGTCTAGTCTATGGTGTTGGTGTGCACAGGCGACACCCCCACCCCCCTCCCCTACCTCCGATCGCTGTCATCGCTAAACCAGTCCGGTAATTTTAAGCTCCACGCTAATCTTCTTTATGGATGTCATTACAACCACGACATAGCCAACACACAGACGGATTTTAATGCCATCAATTACGTCGATCCACTATTGTAGACGATGAAGTTCGTTCCCTGAATTATGCACGTAGTTTGTGTCATTTAGCCCTAGCCCCCCCCCCCCCCCCAACCCACCATGCACATATATTTTACCCCCTGGCCCTAAACCTCTTACCTTTCTACTCGAGCCCAACACACCTGTGGTGGGTGGAGGATACCTTGACTCGATGCAACTACAGCAAATTACAAAGCATTAAAATACGGTGTGTGGCACACCAGTTTGCAACCTTTCCCACAGTTGAGGCTTTGATGTGTTTTCATTCATAGAGACAGTACGCTATCACACACAAAGTTTTCAAGCAACGCGCTGTGTTCAATCATATGGACAGTTTTTCAATGTTCTAGATAGTTTTCTATTACATAGTTTTAAATTCAACCAAAATATTCGGGTGCATGAACAGGGTAATTACATTAGCACTTGGCTCCATGGTAGATCAAAGAAAATATTCAAGTCATTAAAAATAAAAATTATACTTCTACATTTTAGGCTTATATATACATTATACAAAAACATACCTATACAGTATATATCATGCATATACATGGTTATACATACATACATAATACCTCTATATTACACATAAATTATTGATACACATTATATCTATATATATTATATACAAATATAAATATATTTTAATTTACATTATACATAAACATAAATAAACAGTATACATTATGCATATACACATACATTATTACTATACATTTTGCATTAAAAGTTTTTTATTTATGTATTATACCTATAGATTATACACATACTTTTACCTATACTTATGCATATGCAGGATACTATGTAGGCTGAATTATAAATATGAAATATATTAGTTTTAACTAATATTTTGTATATCTTAATATTTTAAATGTAATTAAAATTTAAGTTAGTAAGCAGTAAGCTTCAGTATAGATTCATGGCTATATCAGTAAGGTTATTGTAGGTGTGTAAAGTTTATGGTCTCTAAGTATAAAGATTACAATATTATAATTCTATGATAAATATTTTAGGATAAACTTTGTAGCTGTGATTCATAATCTTTAATTTATTAAATGTATTGACATTTTAATTTAAAATACCATTATGTGTAGCTCATGCTACAAAATTAATCTGGTTTGAATGGATCATTGAAAAGTACTCAAATGATGTAAGGAAAGATTTTTAAACTGATGGGAAAAAAAACCTTTGTTAATTAAATTTTGTAACATGAACTATTTTCTTGCTGGTTACAGCAGTTTTGTAACTGTGGTTGTCACTTGGAAATTTGAAGCTATATAAATTTCATCTCTAGAAATAAATTGTGTTAATTTTAAGCTTTCTATCCAAATTCCATTTTAGTATGGATCAGGCTATATCAACATTCATACCAAAAATAAAGCTTCAATAGCAATCAAAAGCAGAAGTGATATTAAAATGCTGGGGCAGTTGATATAAATTTAGAGTGTTGAATTAGTTTTTCCGCCTCTAGTTTTATCCGTTGTCTGTTTGAAAAAGCTTGAGTGTATTGTCCGTCTTCAGAGGTCTAGGATTGAGTGGACGTGTTCGACTGGTGTCTGATTCTGAGATATTTGAACATAACCGAGTTATCTCCCTTCCAACATAGGGGTGAACTGCACTAGACAGGCGGCTTCTTGCCTGAACTTATCCGCTCCATTTTCAAAGAACCGTTTCTGAAAGTCAGCTGTTGTGTTTTGCCGAAATATTTCATCTCTTCCCCCTGACCCATGTTCCCGGGCAATTAAAACGACGATAGCATCTCGAGATCTACGGTAGTCAAACGGTGATCCGGTCAATACTGATGCTACTGTGATTGATCAGTGTGTACAGGGGAGGTATATTTAGACTTGACGACACAGCAACTGCCCCACCCCCACCACACACACCACACACATAATGACACATTTCGCCCTGGAGGGAATAACACCAGTCAGACTGATGGATTTGTGGGGGAGATATTAGGCGTCTTTTAAACTTGTACACGAAATAGAGTTGTTTCATTCTTTTCATTTTTACATTGATATACGTAAGGTCTTGCTGATGAATGCTAGGATAGCTTCAAATCAAATACAAGACTAGGAGAATTGTGGTGATCTAATTAGATATTAAATTACACTTGTGTGCCTGAATGTGTACATGGGAAGGGTTTAAAAGCCGTTTCATTGTTAACTAGGTAGGCTATTACATTTAGTAGATTTTTCAATTAAAAAAAAATTCGGTCTAAAGGAGTATTCTTTAAATGTTAAATTCTAAATTACTGCACATATTACTGAATATTCCCAAGGGGCCTACGAATTATTATTTTTGAAATCTTTATCTTTGAATCCATTCATCTTTTCTAAAATGTGGCTGCATATTTGTAAACAGAAGATACGAGTTCCTTATAAGTCTAGACCATTATTTTAATGCTTCAATTTATAAACAACCATCTCTTCCTCTCCATGAGTTGTTCTCTAAGGAGTTTGTGAGCAAATATGGCTGTCGTTTGTGTACACAAATGGTTGTTGTTTGTGTATGGTTGTTGTTTTTCGAGTTGAACAGTTGAGATGTTACTACCTCAGTGTAGTGTTGAGTGGTGATGAATGACTTCAGACAAATATTTGGAAGTTCTGAGTGAACTCATGTGACGGCCGATACGTTGTGTGTTGGTGTGAGACGATCTTAGTGAAAACTTATAACACCAGCTGACGGTCGAAGTCTAGCTTGTCTTGTACACATCAACAGGCGACAACACTGTTATTGGATTAGAAGGTTCTCGTTATCAGCGTGTATTTGTGTCTTTTTCATTGCAATTCTCATTCATTTTTTCTAGAGTCCTTTTTAACTAGACAACACCAAGAATGGCGTAAAGCTATGGCGTCGATTAAGTGTTTTTCATCTCTGTGATTGGATTAAAGCGAAATTTCTGTAGTTTTGGGATCTAGTGATGTGAACATCGACATTTGGGTGTGTCGGCTATTTCAAGGATACTAAGCAGAAGAGACACTTCCCGCTGCCAGGGGTTTGATGGTTTCACTAGACAAGAGCAGGTACTGATGCCCCATAGGGTCTGTGGGACCCCCGGGGGAGATGTACGACCCGGCGAGTGAACATGGGCATTCGGCGACACACACGGGTTATGCTGGGGGTTGTCTTCCTAACCTACTGTGTCTACGGAAATTTTCTGTAAGTTTTTTTTTATCATTTTACAATATATAGTTTTATAGCGCATTTTAACCTACTGTGTCTACGGAAATTTTCTGTAAGTTTTTTTTAATCATTTTACAATATATAGTTTTATAGCGCATTTTAACCTACTGTGTCTACGGAAATTTTCTGTAAGTTTTGTTTACAGTATTTATACTACTATATAGTTTTATAGGCATAGCAAGCATTTAATTAAAAGTGTACATTAAAAAAACAATTGAAACCGTGTATTTCAAACTTCAGGCCTAATGAAGTAATTATTTATGGCGCCCATAATGGCATTTGTATTGTTATATATTTCAACACAACACGGATTTGATCAACAATTTCTTTGTCTGATTTGACAGCCAGCGATTGATTGTTTTCTTGATCATTGAGTTTCTGTAGACATTGTTTGTGACTGGTATAACTGGTGTTCTTCCTGTTCTATTGCTACTGTGTGCTACGGTGTGTATTGTGAGAAAACAGAAAAAGTAAGGGAGCTCTGTACGACAGGCATATTGTGAACATATTGATTGCTAGTTTCCCATTCTAAATGTGGGTTTCTAAGTGAGAAGAAAAATACCACTGCTACATGTAGTGTATTGTAGGTTGTAAGACACGTGTCGCTAGAACTGCATAGTAACAACAGAGGAAGTGGCTATTGAAAGGTGACTTGGTAACCCATAGGGCTTTGACATTGGGAACATGTGAACATTTGGCATCGGGAACTTGTAGGGAGTTGACATTGGGAACATGTGAACATTTTGCGTTAGGAACTTGTAGGTTAGGAACTTGTAGGAAATTGACATTGGGAACATGGGAAGAATTGGCATTTGGAAGTTATAGGGAGTTGACTTTGGGAATATGCAGATACTTCAAATTAGGAACTTTTAGACACTTCACTTTAGAAACTTGTAGAACCTTCACATTAGGAACTTGTACGGACTTAACATTGGGAACATGTAAGACCCAACATTACGAACCCATTTGACAACAGGAACTTGTAGAAACTTGACAGTAAGGTCTTATCCAGCAAAAAGAGCGTGTTTCTACAATTAAAAAATGTCGATGTCTGTGTACATAGCAAGCACCCCAAAGCCAGACGTCGCTTGACAGTTTTGGGAACACCGAACGAAGCAGTGGCGTAGACTGGAGATGGCGTTACGGTGTCATCAGAATCCCCTCTCCCCGTCATTACATATTTCTGCCTACGCCATTGCCTTCACGGAACATGTTTAGGTCTAAGATGCTATTATAGTTCAGGTTTTTTCAACACAGTAGTGCCGAGAAATCATTGATTGGCGAAGAACAGAAATCGATAATAATCCAAGCATTTGCGTTAGCCGCTGAGTGCCTACCCTAAGGGGCTTGCTTAACTCCCTTTGATTCAGAAAAAAAATCTTGATTACTGTAATTTACACCTTTCGTCTTTAATTAACCCAGGGATTCGTTATTTGAATTTATCACAACAAAGCGTGCGTTGGTTTAGATCTGTTCTAAAATAGTCAATGTACTTTACAACCGATGTAAAGAAAGTACTTTTATTAAACAACACAAATGCACGGATACAAAAATTATACGTTAAAATGACTAATTTTCTACTTTTACCAGTGTCGTATCCTTGCTGTCTTGTGTTTATAATTGTGTTGTATCCTTGCTGTCTTGTGTTTCTAATTGTGTTGTATCCTTGGTGTCTTGTGAGTGTTTGTTTTGTATCCTTGCTGTCTTGTGTTTCTAATTGTCTTGTATACTTGCTGTCTTTTGAGTTAGTGTTTGCGTTGTATCCTTGCTGTCTTGTGTTTCTAATTGTCTTGTATACTTGCTGTCTTTTGAGTTAGTGTTTGCGTTGTATCCTTGCTGTCTTGTGTTTCTAATTGTCTTGTATACTTGCTGTCTTTTGAGTTAGTGTTTGCGTTGTATCCTTGCTGTCTTGTGTTTCTAATTGTCTTGTATATTTGCTGTCTTTTGAGTTAGTGTTTGCGTTGTATCCTTGCTGTCTTGTGTTTCTAATTGTCTTGTATATTTGCTGTCTTTTGAGTTAGTGTTTGCGTTGTATCCTTGCTGTCTTGTGTTTCTAATTGTCTTGTATACTTGCTGTCTTTTGAGTTAGTGTTTGCGTTGTATCCTTGCTGTCTTGTGTTTCTAATTGTCTTGTATACTTGCTGTCTTTTGAGTTAGTGTTTGCGTTGTATCCTTGCTGTCTTGTGTTTCTAATTGTCTTGTATACTTGCTGTCTTTTGAGTTAGTGTTTGCGTTGTATCCTTGCTGTCTTGTGTTTCTAATTGTCTTGTATCCTTGCTGTCTTTTGAGTGTTTGTTTTGTATCCTTGCTGTCTTGTGTTTCGAATTGTGTTGTACACTTGCTGTCTTGTGAGTGTTTGTGTTGTATCCTTGCTGTCTTGTGTTTCGAATTGTGTTGCATCCTTGCTGTCTTTTTTCATGAAATATATTTTTTATAGTTTTATTGAACAGGTTTTATAAACTGCAAATATTACATTTAGTGGCTGATTCCAACTCGTTAACATCAGTTGAAACCTCGAAAGCCTTGAAAGCCTTATCGTATATATTCGTACCTCTCGACGTTGATATGATTTCTATTTGTTAACGTCAGTCACACCATGTATATCTTTAGTTATGCCGGAGCTCGTCTGACGATCACCTACACATACCAAACTGTCTTTGGATTCATTTTAAACATTGAACGTTTCATTGAGTGTTTTGCTCCTGCCTTAGGCTCCATGTTATAACACCTCTAACTTAATGTGTCCGTTTTGGACACTTAGGTAGCATGTTTTAGTGGCTTGCCATTTCGAGCCCTAGGTTTCAGGTAGCAGCGCCCATTCGACCACTAGATAGATTATGACAGCTGTTTCAACCATTAGGTATCAGATTGTGTTGCACTTTCTGGATCCCAAGTGGCAATGTTTAGTGTCGACTGTTACACCAAGCAAAAGTTTTACATGTTTGAAGTTTTTCTTTTCTCTAATGTTTTTAAGTGGGATGCCACTTTGGAACTATTCGTTTTATTTGAATCTGAGTTTTCGCCCGCTCCAGTTTGTTGTTGTTACTGTTGGTTAAGTAGGCTGCTATCTGACAAGTTAGAGACCTACAACAAACTCCGACCAACAAACTTGTTGTACCAGCTCATGTGGCAACTACGCTAAAATTCAGTCAGCCGTGCGTGTCGAAGCGAATGTTCAAAGTAAAGAGGTCTAGATGCTATGTGAGACACTGGTTCAGCCCCGACTTTCTAAGGCTTCAACAAACACTAGCACAAAGCCTCTCATTAGCGAACGTCGCAAGAAATGTTTATTGTAGATTAATGTTAAAAGCATTTCCCGGATGTGTAGATAGCAGCTACAGCACTTTGATAATTCACATTTTTTTTTACAACAGTGTTTTAAGTATATATCTATTCTTTTAAAGAAATTAATATTGAAGAACAAGCTTAACATTTAATTAAAACAGGATTTCTATTTCTCCATCGCTTGAAGGCATTTTAAATAGGTTTTTTTGTCGGCCGTCAACGAAGAATATTTTAATGGCGTGCAAATGTCTGGTTTCCCTGTATTCCCTCTCAATAAATGTTTTTTTTTTTTAAATCTCTAGAGCGTTGTCGTCAGTGGTGGCGTTGGGCGCTAACATTATTTGCAACAAGATCCCAGGACTGGCGCCAAAACAAAGAGTCATCTGTAGGAGTCTGCCTGACGCCATCGTTGCTATAGGTGAAGGCGCTAAGCTGGGCAGTGCCGAGTGTCGCTTTCAGTTCAAGAACATGCGCTGGAATTGTACCAGTACTAGCAGCGAGACATCAATGTTTGGATATGAAGATCTTGGAGGCAAGTAGTGTTTACCTTATTCAACTTTCTTCCCTCATCTTTGTTGGAGGCAACTTTTTATATTCAACTTTTTCTCCTTATAATAGCTAGATGCAAGTGTGCAAAATGTAACTTTCTTACCGCATATTTGTTGGATACATATTTTCAGTATTCAACTTTCTTCCCTCATATTACTTGTTTGATGCAAATGTACCGAAATGTACTTCCCCCCCCCCCCCCCCCCTTCAGATCGGTTGAATGCACATTTATCGTATTATCTGTCTTACCTTATATTTGTTGGATGCATGTTTACCGTATTATGTCTTTCCTTATATTTGTTGGATGCAAGTTTACCGTATTATCTGTCTTTCCTTATATTTGTTGGATGCAAGTTTACCGTATTATCTGTCTTACCTTATATTTGTTGGATGCATGTTTACCGTATTATGTCTTTCCTTATATTTGTTGGATGCAAGTTTACCGTATTATCTGTCTTACCTTATATTTGTTGGATGCAAGTTTACCGTATTATCTGTCTTACCCTATGCAACTTTCTTTTCTCAGATTTTGCTGCTCTAACATACCAATATTACTTAAACATAATCTAAACAATTCATTAACTTCCCACGCCCTTTATCCCCCAACCTAATTTCAGTATTTAATAAAATACACTTTTTAATGTTGTATGAAAAAACACCCAGCTAATTTAATTAAATTAGAACATGCTTTGAGGTGTTACGCTTGAAAGTTAACCATTAACCTCGGCAGTACAGTGTGAGACGTGAAATAAAAACATTTTGAAATAACTTTTTATTCACCCTCTCCCGGCTGACTGTATGCTGCGCTGTGTGGGGAGAGCGTGCAGTATACAGAGAATTTCCATTCATAATCTTTGTCTGCTTGTTGAAAGGCCAACAGGAATACCAGACAATCTTGACACGTATCTACAGAATCAACAACACTGCGAACACCCCGCTTTCCCAAGTTCATTTTCAAGTTGATATTTTTCTCTCCCATTCAATGAAATGTACGGATTACATGAAGGGCCTTTTCATGCACCCCGTTTTAATTAAAGTACCAAACACGATGATTGAAATAACCACGGCTGCTTGCTTCTTCCCCACCCTGGGTACTCTATTCTGATTCAATTATAAAATGGACTGTTATTCTTTTGCGCTGTATAAAAAATGTACCAAAATTGAGCTTTTGTTATCTGGGCAAGCATTCGGATTCATTGTGGTATAAACTGTTTGATAAGTTTACGGCTGAAAAAATGTTTATTCATTGAACAGATATATTTGTTCATTTTATTTAGGAACCTACAATTCTTAGATGTGCGTCTTTTCGGCTGGAGCAGCTGGTGTTTGTGAAGTGGTGGGTGGGGAGTTGGACCGGCCCCCACACGTTTTTAATAAAAATGTGTATTTAAATGATTAAAAACGGCGAATTTTTTTTCTGTCTCCCCCCTTTCCCCCCTCCCCGAATCGCCATTATGGATGAAAGCCTAAATCCACTCCTTACCACACAAGGACAACTACAAATGGGGAGGTTCAATTTGTTTTTATTTTATGTACACAACATAAATTAGTACTGTATACATAGAACATTCATAAGTTGGTTACATTGGTCAGCGAGCTACTTTGGTCAATTGACTAGATTGTTCAGATAGCTACATTGGTCAGTTGGCTAGATTGTTCAGATACCTACATTGGTCAGCTGGCTGGCTAAACCACGCACCTACTTGTTTACAAAAGCGTGTATAAAGTGTGTGTCCTGTTCAGGAAATAGTGGTTATTCTTGTTTGTCAATACCCACCTATTTCCCAGTGACATTCATTTGATTTCCTTTGATAATTACTTGTTTCCATTTGACATTTACTCACTGCCTTGGAGCCGTCACCTACTGTCATTTGACAGTTACCTCCCTGTCACACTAACGCCCCTGTGACACTCACTCATTCTCCTCTGACACTCACTCACTCCCCTGTGACACTCACTCATTCACCTCTAACACTCACTCACATCCCTGTAACAGAGCGCATCAAAATCCCAGCCAGACCAAAACTGCATTACTCCTCCCTTTTGTTTGCCTAGACATTTCATCTTGTGAATGTTACCCTATCATACCTGCCGGTATACTCTAGACATTTCATCTTGTGAATGTTACCCTATCATACCTGCCGGTCTACTCTAGACATTTCATCTTGTGAATGTTACCCTATCATACCTGCCGGTCTACTCTAGACATTTCATCTTGTGAATGTTACCCTATCATACCTGCCGGTCTACTCTAGACATTTCATCTTGTGAATGTTACCCTATCATACCTGCCGGTCTACTCTAGACATTTCATCTTGTGAATGTTACCCTATCATTCCTGCCGGTCTACTCTAGACATTTCATCTTGTGAATGTTACCCTATCATACCTGCCGGTCTACTCTAGACATTTCATCTTGTGAATGTTACCCTATCATACCTGCCGGTCTACTCTAGACATTTCATCTTGTGAATGTTACCCTATCATACCTGCCGGTCTACTCTAGACATTTCATCTTGTGAATGTTACCCTATCATACCTGCCGGTCTACTCTAGACATTTCATCTTGTGAATGTTACCCTATCATACCTGCCGGTCTACTCTAGACATTTCATCTTGTGAATGTTACCCTATCATACCTGCCGGTCTACTCTAGACATTTCATCTTGTGAATGTTACCCTATCATACCTGCCGGTCTACTCTAAACATTTCATCTTGTGAATGTTACCCTATCATACCTGCCGGTCTACTCTAGACATTTCATCTTGTGAATGTTACCCTATCATACCTGCCGGTCTACTCTAAACATTTCATCTTGTGAATGTTACCCTATCATACCTGCCGGTCTACTCTAGACATTTCATCTTGTGAATGTTACCCTATCATACCTGCCGGTCTACTCTAGATATTTCATCTTGTGAATGTTACCCTATCATACCTGCCGGTCTACTCTAGACATTTCATCTTGTGAATGTTACCCTATCATACCTGCCGGTCTACTCTAAACATTTCATCTTGTGAATGTTACCCTATCATACCTGCCGGTCTACTCTAAACATTTCATCTTGTGAATGTTACCCTATCATACCTGCCGGTCTACTCTAGACATTTCATCTTGTGAATGTTACCCTATCATACCTGCCGGTCTACTCTAGACATTTCATCTTGTGAATGTTACCCTATCATACCTGCCGGTCTACTCTAAACATTTCATCTTGTGAATGTTACCCTATCATACCTGCCGGGATACTCTCCCCTTCCACCTTAATCCCGCATTTACTCCCCATTGACTGGTCTACCCCCGCATTCAACACTTCCCACCTTGAAAATTAAACTACAGCCTTCGTTTCCGAAGCCGGTACCTTATTTCGGCGGTTGCTTGTATTAAAAAATCTTTTCGGCCGCTTACGTTTGAAAAGGATCTAGAAAGGCCGCTCTATTATTCTGTAATTTGATGTTAAACACGTACGTTAAACAAGGGTACAGCAGTCTGAGCAGTCCGCGTAGAGATGACAAACATTCTGTGAGGAATGAAAGAGCCAACGATCTTTTCAGTTTGGGGTACACAAGAGGCCCACCCCACCCCGCATCACAGGAATGGGGAACGTTGAAAGAGAAAGTTGAGGACAAAAAAAAAGAACCGGACGAATGTGGCGTCGTCGCTGATCCTTTAATAATCTCCGAGAGCAGTGTATTGGAGCAGAAGCGCGACTGATGTCCCCTCTACCACAAGACGTTATTCAAGTTGGGAGAGGGCTCTTAGACTTGACGTAAAAACAACACACTTTTTTTCCCTTTTGTGGCGACGATATGACGAAGCTACGAACCGACTTAATTTGACACTTTTAGTAATCGCGTGCTTGTAGGCTATACATATCACAATACCATCACGACACATTGATTTATCAACGATGTTGCTCTGTCGGAAATATTAAAAAAAAAAACCCACCATAATCTCCTGCGTTAAATAGTTTGTGCTTTCATAATTTTTAAATGAAATATGTCAAACTAATTTAGAGGAAAGGCTAAACATTGGATTTTAATCTTGTTTATCATCATGTCGAAAAAAATGATTGAACATCTCAACGTGCATACAACAAGATGGATTTAATTTTCTCTCTGGTAGGAAATGTACAATGTCTCATTAGTGACGTACATTTCATTCAAATAGTTTGAAGACAATTTATTTTGAAAAAAAAAGATATTTTTGCACGTTGTGTAATTCAAGTCACATTTTGTGATATGTGGCACACTGATAATTTCTTATGTCACGGATGTCTTCAAATATTCCATAACACAGCCGACAAATTATCGTGTGTCTACAGAGGCAATGGGGTCTCTGGTCTAAGAATGTATTAATTATTTATCACGTCGACTTGATCTGATCTAGCGTCATCTCCTGGTGTAAAGAGAGCCGGGGTTGTTGAATGCAGGCATGTCGTGTCGTCCGCGGTGAAACATGCAAGATTTATCGCAGGCTTGTCGGGCTCTTGTTGTCTGGATCAGATGGGACGACTGGCAGAATTAGCTGCTAAACTATACACAATATCCTACCCGAAACCTATTCTAGTGAAAGGGAATTCGGCGAATTTTCTTCTGCTTTGGAAATCGAAATAAAAAACTGAGTGGGTCAGTCAATAACTATTTCAAATAAATGACCAATATTACAACTGACCAACACTCGCTATATGACTGAAATGCTATGAAACACTTGTCACCTGAGAAAATTGACACTTGAATTATCGTCCTCTCTCAGTTTCAAGGTTCACTGAACGGAAGCTCAAACCATGCTCACCTGGACACAGTATTTTATATAGCGGGCCCTCTACTGTATGCCATCATATAGTGGGTCCTCTACTGTATGCCATCATATAGTGGGTCCTCTACTGTATGCCATCATATAGTGGGTCCTCTACTGTATGCCATCATATAGTGGGTCCTCTACTGTATGCCATCATATAGTGGGTCCTCTACTGT